CATATGTAGTATTGGAAGTTGTAGCTTAAATATTGTTTAACGTAAACTTCGTCAAAGGCTAAACTTGATTCTATATTTTAATCTAATAACATGAATTACATAAAATAGCTAGTGAATTTGTATGGATCTCTATGCACTATAGATCTACTCCTCTACTGATTACGTAGGAGACGTGGCTCATTAGAATGAGTCGTGTGAGATCGGAGCTCGATTCATTCGCACTGCCGCGCTCTCTGTGCGCACTTGTGTTATAAATTCTTATTTTGTTGTTGTTGGTGCGAAGGATTCCCGCTGGGGTAAGTTTCCAGCATTTTCTAGGGTAAATAACAGTTGTAATGGTGTTCTTCTTTCTAAAAGTTTAATGTAGGCACTACGTAACGCCAGTCTGTCCAATTTCTATATAATTTTGAACCCTTGGCCTTGGGTTCAACTTACGAAGACCCGAAACAATTTGTTAAACCACAGCCCTGTGCTATGAGGAGGAATGACTCCGTTTCCTGAAGATGGCTGAGTAATCTCCTTCCTACAAACAACGGCCAGATATTGAAAACAAACGGAAATACGTCAGCTATATCCATCGACGCTTCTTACCTGACGCCAGGAGCTTTTAAGGAGCTGGAAATCCGACTTACCTGCAGATCGGATTCCAATAAGATTGGTGTTCTTTTATTACCTACTTACTATTAACGTGATGGCCACGGAATAATTTTGGGAAAATAAAGAATTTGTTCCAACAAATAAATCTTTTATTCCGAACCCTAACTTCTTGCGACCTCAACCGGTTGCAGGAGCACAGACCTTCCTATAGATAAAATAAGGAGAAAAGGGTCACGACCCACAACGCGGATTCAAGTGTGGATTTGTAGGTGCTAACGTGCAACCAAGAGAACCGGTTGCAAATGCTTACTGAACCATAGAAAAACTCGAGATAGTATAAATTGGCCACCTATCCTATGACCGAGCACTGCGAAAGTTTCTTAACCTCCACGATTGCAGCCTGAACTTCCGCTTACGCCATCAAGCTGCTCCTCCAGGAATTATATAAAGAGAAATATAAATGTAAATATATGACATACCTATTGGGCCAATCTATAGCGAAATATCAGTCACAAAAGCGAACTGTCAAATTGGAATAAAAATAAGCAACTTCCAAAATCTGTCTTATTAATTTATTTATTTAATAGGTGTACTTACAGCTAAACATATAAAACATTAAAAAATTAAAATAATACTTATTCTAAGACATATATGCAAGCCTTTACAAGCACACACAACATTCAATTTAGAAAAGTTCAATGTAATTAATAATCAATAATAATAAATGGAATTAATAATCAATAATCAATACAAAATAGTGCATTTAATAATAAATATTCGATTTAAAACTATAAATGTATGTCAAATTGATGCAAAAAATAATAATGTAATGTCAAATTGATACAAAAAAATAATAATAACTATAATAATGCGGAATTAATGAGAATCGAGCGTCTTAGGTTCAACAAGTTCCTTTTCAGTTATAAAAAGTTTCGGGTCACATTCTGATGCACTATTGGTCCTTACCACTTGATTATTTGATGTGATATAAAAATAAATTATCATCGAACATCGATAAATACAAGTTTATCGATTGTCATCCTTGTTCGATATAATAGAACCGCCTCACAGCAGTTGTGCAGGCGGGACACGGAGCCGAGAAAACGTCTCACCTACCTGCTACTGGAAACACCCACCATTCCAAAATGTAGCCGACGCGATTGGCTTGTAAATAAATGCTGTAGTCTGTAGTCTCATTTTGGTAAGGCAAGCAAAAGTTCATTGTTAATTTATAGATATTAGGGAACATTTTTGCTTAGCCAAAAATATGTAGATAATCTATTTGATGAATGTGAAATTCAAACGTTAAATTGTAATTGTGGGCTGGCCATATTTGTCGAAGTACCGATAACCGTTGGGGTAGACGAGTTCTGGAGTGGAGATCGCGTCTAGGCAAACGTAGTGTAGGACGTCCTCAGGCGCGATGGAGTGATGATTTGCGCAGGGTGACTGGCAGGAGCTGGATGCGAGTAGCCCAAGATCGATCTGTATATATGTATATATATATATATATATATATATATATATATACATATATGTATATGTGTGTGTGTGTACTAATTACAGCTCGTTAGCCATCACTCGAGTACAGGCATTGTGTAACAACAATCGTACAATGAGTTTAATCTTTGAAACGCGATTGCAATCGGTAGTTTTCGACGCATTATTTTCATCGCACGACGAGATAGCATCATGTCACCGTACGATCGTGGCCAATCAGAACGACGCGACGCCTCTACAAACTTCGTTCGGCTTAAAAAAGAATATACACTATACTCGACTGCCTGCCTGAATTATGTCAAATAACAACACCGGTTATATTAAGCTGAGTTTCTTGCCGGTTCTTCTCAGTACAAGGTTTCCCGCCGTAAATTTACGAACCGATGGCGTAGCGTTTGACTTTCACAAGAGCTTGTAACAGCCTAGACTGAATAAATGAGTTTGAATTTGAATTTGACTAGTGTTTCGGTACGCCCTCGTTTTGCTTCGGTGTAGAGCTGAAGTGTAGACTATAGTTTTTGTTCTCAGGCTTGTATTATACACAATGACATTCATCTATGATTCTTCTTATACCTGCATACAAAGTCTCAGCCCGATCGGTTTAAAATTGACAAAGTTTCATACAAACTTTCATTCCCTATTTTATCCCCTTGGGGGTAGAATTGATCAATATCCTTTCTTAGCGGATGCCTACGTCATAACTTCTACCTGCATGCCAAATTTCAGTCCGATCCGTCCAGTGGTTTGGGCTGTGCGTTGATGTCAGTCAATCAACTTTGAGTTTTATATATATAGATAGATGAACATGGTATTAATGTATGAACATCAGATCGTGTACTCTCTAAGAAGACTGATTAAGTTACTTGGCGTTCCTGTTGACACGATTCGGTCTTGTCTGCACTGTTTTAGAAGACTAAGTGGTGTCCACCCCAGGCACAGCAACAGCAAAAGGAGTGTTCTCCACCAAAATTTACCATAACTAAATTGTGTAAAATCGATTAAGCGTATTAGATATGAAAGCGTAACAGACAGGCAAGCAAAGCTTCTTTGAAATTAATAATATTAGCTAGATCTGAACATGAGAGATGATTTAAAAACAATCAATAACTCAAAAGCGGTATCCGTGTACATCGCAAAAAAGTATTTACAAAGAAAGTTATTAGTGTTCAAAAACTTGTCATGGCATTTATCAGCAGTATATTTTTTGTGTAAAACCCCTTTTTGCCACCTATATTGGTCGTTGCAAAAGTTGCTTAACTTACCTGCCTCACCACTGCACACTCACCGCATCGAGCTTCTGGACTTTACTTAGGTACACTCGCGGAAAAACCCGCTCTGTCACCCATAATGCCATAATCGCTTGCGGTAGCGGCGTAGTAAAAATTCATTCATAGACATATAATTATCGCTGTCTTACTTTTTCGTATAGCGCTGTCGCGATCACGATGCGGATGACAAATTGCAACTAAAACAAATGCAATTCAATTCATTATTCAATCAATGAAATGCTCTCTGTCTTACTTTTTTGCGGTGGCCCGGATTGCCGCGTCCGACGCGATGGCATGGCGGGGCGTAGTAAAAACTGCTGTTGAAAACCGTTCAAAGCATTTTGTTCGCCAAGTGACAGAGCGCAAAATTCCACGATAGTACATAGTTCTTAATACCATAGAGTAGAGTGGCACTACGAAAGGATTCGATACAATAATATATTGATTTCCAGAGTTATCACTGTGGCTTTGCGTTTTCAATATCAGATCTCACAAATAATTTCAGCTGTGCAAATTCGATTGCTATCGAGTGAGTATAAATATATCCATGGTTCTGGTATGATGTTGCCTAACAACAGAGGGGACCACGCAAACCTCACGTCGTCATTTGGTGATAATATAATTTTCGCATTGCATTGTATAGAATTGAACATTTCCAATGCAGATTTGTCGCGGCTCTGGAACACGGATATTCCATTTGCGACGCATTCGTTGCTACAAAGTTCGATTATATCTGACTGTATGTATATAATATTTATATTGTTGCGACATAAATAACTCACAATCACCCTTTCCGGTACGACAGTATGTAATGTTTGTTTTTGAACAGGGCGTGACACTGACACTCATGTTACTGACACACGTAGGACAGCAGTTTTATCTATGATAGCGAACCGCTTATGTCAACGTGGCTGTCAAACTTCATGGGTTGGGTTGGTAACATTGAAGGAATAGTAGCTTTTTTCATTCGACTTAAGAATCGACTTCAACTTATAAAAAAAAGACAAAACAGTGGGTCTAAGTTGTTGTGTGTTGATGGGTTGATTGAATTTCATCAACAGCCTATCCTAGTCCACTGCTGGACATAGGCCGATTCGCTGGTGATGCTGTTGTTGATGTTTATATTAGCTATAACTTTAAAACTACTGTATTTACCTGATAAGCCTTTGGAATGCTTAAATATTAAGCTATTTTCTTTATGATATCAGTTAGTAAAATATAATAATAACATTATCTTTATTTTTTGCTTTCTTTCTTTGTTTCCCCTGTGCTCTGAGGTAGACTAGAGGAGCAGTGGAAGGAGACACACATACCATTACAAGTAAAAGAAAAACATAAATCTAAACAAAAAAAATCCTGACCATTCAGTAAAAAATATAAACGGACAAAGAAGTTTCGTGAATTTAATGGAATGTTTGAGTTAGAAACTATCCTGTTGAGGATAATTTCTTAAGTCATTATACAAATAGTTATTTTCTTAAGGTGTCTCCAGATTTTATAACATGCTATTGATACGTCTGCATGCTCTGACATAGTTCGTCGACTCTCGTCTGGACGCACCATTATATACCTTACGTTAAAATCATTCGTAAAACGAAAAGCCATAATCAACTAAAAATAATATATTTAAAAAAATCATTGATGAAGGTCTTTATACATTCTCGCTCTGAAAGTATTACGTACGTGTCTTGCACCAACTTTGATACCCTCCCAAGTCTCCATTCCAGCTTGCTCGATAAAATCAGGGTCTACTAAAAACCCCAATGCGCCCACTCCAAATCTCATGCCCGGCAACTCATAAGTGTAAGCCAAAGGTGCACCTGCAACCTTAGCGTAATCCATAGCACTGCCTGATGCATCATAAAGGACATGAGCTACGTTACCAACGATGTAGTCACGATTGAAATCAGCCTTCACTGCGTCTATGGCTTGGGCCATTTGGACTGCAACGAGATTGAGGGTCAAACCGTTCGGTGGTAACACGCCATTACCGTAACCAAAGAGGATCATGCTGCCAAAGCTGTGGATATCGAGGAATAGCTCGAGGCGATCGCTGTGTTCGAGCATTATGTTTCTGATAGCTTGAGTCTCGGGTTCGGAGAAGGCTCTAGGGCCATGGAATGTTTCCATGCAGGAGATGCCGCTGGAAGCCTGGCCCCAGTGGACGTCGAAGTTTCTGTTTAGGTCTACTCCAGCGCATAAGCCCGCAAAATTGTTTGCACGATTCTTGCGCCAGAACCGCGACTGAAAATAAAAAAAAATATAATTGAAATATTTATCTATATATTGAATTCAGAGAACGGACATTGAAGAGTAACGTAATGAAGTTCCTTACGAGACGTTACAGTTTTGCTGTAAAGAAAATCCTTTGAAATTATTTAAGCAGCTAATAATATTTTTACAATGTTTTGTGTTGCTAATGATAATACCATAGTAGATAAAGTGGATTGAAAAGTTTTAAATTTGTTTTCCAAAAATAATTTTCTACTATTTTTATTTTATGCCTAAAATAAAATATGATTAATTACTTATATCAAATTATGTTTTCTATGTTAAAATAAGACCAAATTAAAAACTTTGGTGGAAAACATCTTAACTAGCTATTGTTGACAATCTGCAGTACTGGTACTGGATTTAAAAATATTTTAAATATGGGATATTCGAGAGGATAGTAATTGAAATGTATCAGATATAATAACTATAAAAATCCTACTAATATTATAAATGTGAAAGTTTGTATATTTGTCACTATATCACGCTGAAACGGCTAAACGGATTTGGACTAAATTTGGTACACACATAGTTAATGATCTGTATTGACACATATAATATAATACATTTTATCACAAAAATCTGAGTGCCGGCAGAAGTGAAAACTTGAATATTAACGTTGTGTATTTTTGATATTTTGGAATGGTTAGGGAATAATTTTGCACAAATTGCTTTAATTATCAATATAAAAGTATTAGCATGTATGTGGTTGAATACAATATTTATTTATTGCGCTATCGTACACAAACATGACAATTTATATTACATTCAAAAAGTTTATCTCTCAAAAAATCAACTTACATGAATCACGTTTAAGCGCACTTAGCGACATCTATTGTAAAGAAATCAACTTACATGAATCACATTTAAGCGCACCAAGCGACATCTATTGTAAAAATTTTCTTGGCAAGCTGCCACGTGAACTTGATAGAGACTTATTATTATAATACGATAAAATAAAATATTAGTATAGTGTTTAACCTGTCGCGAGTTTAACATTTTTTACCCATACAAAAAAAAGTGTACAATGCCGCTAAAGAAGTTTACACTTCAAAAATAAGATTTCTGAAGGATTCTTCAAAATCTTAGTATAAATCGGATACCGATGACACGATTAGGTATACAATTTGTGACGATGATGATTTAGTTTCTCACGCAATGGAAATTATGCACTTTGAAAGTTTAAGTCGATATTTTGTAGCGTTATGTCATGTGTAATTTTTTTTTTTGCTTTTCTTGGGTTATCAGACTGAATTTAAGTCATCGTCATTCTCTGCTTGGCTGAACGCTTTACTTCCATCAGCCTTTCTCTGTCCACTGCAGGACGCTTTACTTATTAATGCATTACTCACAAAAGAAGTACTTCTTGTAATTTCACAAGAATTCTTAAGGCTACCAGTTAGTCCTTGTTCCTTAATACTTTCTAGTATTTATCATATTAATATGGTTCCCAGTATCATTCTCAACTCAAGTGGCTTCCAATTCGTCGTCACCGGGATACTCATATACTTTCCCTACTTCACATTTTTTTATTTAATCCCTCTTGTCCGAAATGTCTTAACAAACTTTTAAATTTTCTCTACTGTTTCCACTCTCAGTCGTTACGATCATCAGAGAATCTGTGCCTTAAAACTCCATCACATAATACCACCTTTAATAAATATTCTTGTTGTGTCTAAGCTGTGCGCCTTTAGTACTCTCTTCTTGTTAACATCAGACGTACCTGCGCAGACGATTGGTTTATATAAGAGGTACACAAAGGATTTTTTCCTTTCACAGTAAAAAGTATTTTGTGTCTATTCCCTCCACAGTAATTGTTTGTGTTGTACCAACTTTATTTCCTTATTGTGATTTTATTTTACCATATTATTTTATTTTAATTGTAGTGGATTAAAAATGATTTTTTTTTTATGAAATATTTTATCAAAGTTTTTATATTATTATTATAGTATGTGTTAGGCTCAGAGGTTTGACTAATAAAGAAATATACTTCACTTTTATCAGCTGTTTTATTATATTTTACTTTAATTAACATTAGGACTACGAGACACATGTGGACGCTATTCTAGCTGGAAACGGAAGGGGCTAGTGTTGCCATAATTCTACCTAACATCTTTCCTTTTACAAAACAAAGAAGGATAGCTTTACAATTTTATGCAACAGACCTATTTTGATTCTATAAACACTTTATTTTATTTTTTAATATATTACAAAGAATGTTCACTATGGCTCAATGTTCTTAACCCAAACTTAGAGAAAAAAAAAACAAACATTGATATAACTTTAAACTGACAGTGACATTTGATTACTTGACATTTCTTAAAAATATTAATGTGTTAATTACATATTTTATTTACTGAAGGCAGTTAAGTTTTTCTTTTTTCTAACAATTAGATACAATATCTATACGTAAGTTATTTAAATACAACAATCTCATAGCCAGGTTTTTCTCAACCTATTTATATTTACACAGATTGACTATTGGATAAATTAGTTAAGCATAACTATTCCTTTCTTCCTTATATAAACTGAAAATAAAACTAAATTTACTTATTTACTTAAATGAAAATGACTTTCATAGAAACATTATGTACTTATAACTAACTCAACAACAATGTTTACAGAGTATCTTATGATATATTTGTAATAATACATAGATACACATACCAAATGCAAACTATAATATCATATGACTGTAATAATGATTTTTAAATGTTTAGTCTTTCAGGTATTTTATAGGTACGCCCATATCTAGATTTTGATCTATCGCTGACAATAGGTAAATCAGATGTGGCTTTTAGTTCTGATGGTGACAACTTTAAATTACTATGGGCCTCTAAATTATCAAAATTGTCAATGGGATGAGATGGTTTCAAAATGTGTTGCCTATTTCTACGGAATATTCCTTCAGGACTGTTAATAACAAAACTACGAGGTTCTGGACCTACTTGTGAAATGATACCTGGAACCCAACAACTATTCGGTTTGTGTTTAAACAAGATATGATCACCTACAGACAATGGTTTTAAGTGTTTACTATTTTTATTATAATAAATGGACGATTTTAATTTTTGTTTTTCAATGTTATCCTTTAATTTATCATTATCTATTACTTTAAACTGCAAGTTATTTTCACTAATGGGGACTAGAGTTCTTAAGCTTCTCGACATACACAATTCTGAAGGTGAGTATTTACTGTACTTAGGTGTATTTCTATAAGATAATAGTGCTAAATATGGATCTGAATTATCAGCATGACATTTTTTTAACATATTTTTTATAGTTCCAACTGTTCTTTCCACCATTCCATTTGAACGACTTAAATAAGGACTGGATGTAATGTGTTCAATGTCCCAATTGTTTACAAAATTATTGAACTCTTTGCTACTAAATGGTGGACCATTATCAGAAATTAGAATATTTGGAATACCATGACGGGCAAAAATAGATTTTAATTGAGTAATTACAATACTTGCAGTGAAATTTGACTTTAAAATAGCAATTTCAACATATTTTGACATGTAGTCTACTACAATAAGATATTTATTGTTGTTAAAATCAAAAAAATCAATACCAACTTTATGCCATGGCAATAACTTATAATCATGATGGAGTACTGGTTCTTTACTATTATTTCTTCTATATGATAGACACACCCTGCATTTACCTACATATTTCTCAATATCAGTATACATTTGTGGCCAGTATACTGTTGTTTTAGCTAAACGGATACAGCTATTAATGCCTTGATGACCATTATGTATGAGCTCAAGAATAGACTGTCTTAATGACTCAGGAATTATAATGTTATCACCCTTAAAGACAATGTTATCTAAGACATGAATTTCAGTTTTAATTGCAAAATAAGGTTTAGTATCTTGACTGAGCAATCTCTTGTGCTCTGGCCATCCATTTTGACAGTAATTAATTAATTGACACAATGACTTATCTTTTAAAGTTAATTCTTGTATTTGTTTGAATTTTTTAGGACTGACTGACAGATTAGACATAAGTAAATTAACATGTAGATCCAAATCTTGATCAATATCGACTAATGATTGCTCTGGCAAAGCACTCCTTGACAAAGTGTCAGCTATATACAGATAACGACCAGGTTTATATACAATATTAATATCATATGGTTGTAATCTCAACATAATTCGCTGTAACCTAGGTGGTACATCCTGTAATGCTTTTTTAAATAAAGTTATTAATGGTTTATGATCTGTTTCTATGGTAAATTGCTTACCATAAATATATTGATGGAATTTTGTACAGCCATATAGTACTGCTAACAGCTCTTTTTCTATCTGGGAATAGTTTTGTTGACATTTGGTAAGACTTCCTGATGCATATGCTATTGGCTGTTTATCGTGTGACAAAACAGCTCCCATTGCATCTTTGGAAGCATCTACTGATAAAATAATGCTTTTATTAGGATCATAATATATAAGAACTGGAGCGGAACAGATTAAATTTTTTATAACTTGAAATTCAGACTCATGCTGTTCAGTCCAATTCCAAACTACATTTTTTGAAAGAAGAGATCGCATATTTGTTGTCTCTTGTGACAAATTTTTAATAAATGGACCTAAATAATTCACCATACCCATAAATCGCTGCAATTCTGTGACAGTGGTGGGACTACGCATTTTACAAATAGCTTCTACTTTGGTTTTATCCATTTTGATTCCCTCAGAATTAAAAACATGACCTAGATACCTAACTTCTTGCTGGCAAAGTTTTGACTTTTCCTTATTGAATTTAATGTTACAGTCTCGCGCCTTGTTTAAAACTTTTTCTAATCGTTCATTATGTTCAGCCAGCGTACTGCCATAACACAAAAAATCATCCATCATTATTTCAACTCCCTCTATGTCTTTAAACCTTTTTACCATCTCGCTATGAAATATCTCAGGCGCTGCATTGATACCAAAGGGGAGACGAGTGAACCTATACCTGCCGAAGGGTGTTATAAAAGTACATAGCTTTGAAGATTTTTCAGACAAAGGAAGCATCCAATACCCTTTATTTGCATCTAATGTTGAAAAATACTTAGCACCTTGAAGCTTTGACTTGATTTCGTCTAAGGTAGGGAATTGATAATGAGGTCTCATTATAGCTTTGTTTAACTTTCTGGTATCCATACACACTCTCATTTGACCATTCTTTTTAGAAACCATTACTAATGGACTTACCCATGGTGTTGGCTCTGCTATGGGACATATCACACCATTTTTTTCCATGTTACTCAGTTCTTTTTTTAGTGCATTTTGCAGGTTGAATGGGACTCTTCTACAAACATCAACAGATGGTGTGACATCTGGCTTCAAGGTAAAATTGCACTCAAAATCTGTCAAGCAACCCAAACCATCAAAAAGATCACTATATTTAGACATAATGTTTTGACTACAGCTTTCCAAATTAGAATTATTGTAGCTGCTGAAAGAAACAGAATTGATTTTCTTTATTAAATTTAACACCTTACCAGTTTCCCGACCAATAATATTTTGACAATTTAGCTCAACAATGTGGAAATTTATACAATAATCTTTATTTTTATGTCTGATCAAGACTTTACATTGACCTACTGTTTGTATAACTTCACCACTAAATGTTGAAATGGTATGATTACTTTTCTTTATTTTTGAAATTGAAATGCCTAATTTTTTGAATGTGTCATATGATATTATGTTTGTATCTGCACCAGAATCTAAAAGAAATTTTACATTGTAATTATTAATTTTTAACTCTATTGTCCATGGTTGATATTCTTTTGAAGATACATTGTTTACACAGAAAATTGCACCTAAAAACAATTTTTCAGAAGACACATTATTATTACTGTTTGACTCTATTACCTTTATAGATTTAAACCGACAATGTGAAGCAAAATGATTAAATTTTTTACATTTATGGCACTGAACACCAATTGCAGGACACTTATACTTATGTGTTTGACCACAACGACCACACTTTGACTGTGACTTTGAGCGGCTTCTGCTGGTTGAACGACTGTTAAATGACTTTGACTTGTTGAAAGACTTGTGTACTTGACCAACAAAATTGTTACTTGACTGCTCTAAGACTCTGGCCTGACGTTTTGTTTCTTCATAAGTTTTAGCTAAGTTTATTGCCTGATCCAATGTTTTTGGAGACTCATTCAATATTTTTTCCTTTATATACTGATTATCTTTATTAAGATTTAGACTGAATATATCTCTTAGCAGATTCTCTCGAAGACTTCCAAATTCACATTGATGGCTTATATTTTTTAGATCAGTGACATAGTCGTCAATGGATTCATTTAATCCTTGATGCCTATTAAACAGTTTGTGGCGTTCCATCGTGACATTAATTTTAGGCATAAAATATGTTTCGAACTTTTCAAGAAGGGCACTGTAACTTATAGTGTCTAAATCGACATCAAATGAATAGAAAATATTAAGTGCTTCGACACCGATAAATTGTAACAAAATGGCGACCTTTCTTTGATCTGGCTCATTTTCTAGTTTGTTCGCTCGTAAATATATTTTTAGTCTATTTGCCCAATTCTTCCATGTAAGCGGCATGTTTCCACTTCTTAAATCCAATCTTTCCATTATTGTTGTACTTACTAGTGACTGTTGCGGCAATGATGGCGGAACCGACGCTTTACTTTGTTCGACTGTTATGTCCATTTTTTCCATAATTTTGAGACTTCTGACACCATGTTAGGCTCAGAGGTTTGACTAATAAAGAAATATACTTCACTTTTATCAGCTGTTTTATTATATTTTACTTTAATTAACATTAGGACTACGAGACACATGTGGACGCTATTCTAGCTGGAAACGGAAGGGGCTAGTGTTGCCATAATTCTACCTAACAGTATGTAGGAGTACGTTTTACGGAGTAAGTTTTCGTTTTACTTATATTAACATACCCCTTCTTTATTAAAGCTCATCTCTCCCTCCTATGGTTGTCTGGAAAAACTAATAATATAGCGATAAGACCGCCAATTGTCCACAATTTAAATTATTATCCTATTTAATGTGGTGTGCACAATAAAGTTTTTATCTATCTATAATATTTATTTTTAAACTAAGCCCTCTTTACGTTTAGCAGGGGGTATCATACGCTTGATATGATGAAGACGATTAAAGAAGTATAACTTGTTGAAGACAGTGAATAATTTATTAGACTAACAGAAAATATTATTTCTATCTGTTTATTAAATTTTGTGACGGACTAAGTAGAAACACAGTGTTACTTAACTAGCATTCCAGTAAGCTCTCTGTAAGGTTTTAGGGTAAGTAAGGAGGGTTTCACGGAATACCCGTGAGATGGACAGGTTGGCGGGTTAAGTAAGGTATGGGTATCCTTTTCTATTTAATATAAATGAATAATGAGAATATTTCTCAGTAGAAGTTAATTTCAAAATATTCAATAAAATTTGGTCATCTCACTCCCCTGCACTATTATGCTGAGGCAGGGTCCTAAATTGACAATCTATAGCTTTGTAATAGCATGAATGTATTTAGTTTCTCCTTTTTATATTTTAAATTTCTTTGGTTATGTTTTCGTGTTTTTATTATTGGTCAATAAAATCGTTCTCTCTAATTAAGTCTATAATGAATTCAACTTGAAAAAAAAACCACCGGGTAAGTGCAATTGGTGTGTCACAACGAACAGTACCATACCTGTTGTTCAAGATTCGAGCAATAGGTAGTAAGAAACACGTTCCTGCCATAAATGTAGTTTCAGCGGCTAAAATTTAGTGTGTGACAACTATTATATTAGCTCAATGTAAGAGAGATGGACGGTCAGCTAAGGTAAAAGGGCTCCAATATCGTGCTTTAGTTTACGCCCCAAAACGTAAATTAACTGTAACAATTCACATTTTGAATAGCACAAAATTGTCACGTCCTTGTTCGCCTAATACAAAACGCTGAAAAGCTCCAAGAAGGATCTTTAAATACTCAAACTTATTGTTTTCTTAAGAGGCGCTTAATCCAACAGTGGGTTTGAAACTCGTGGCCCTGAATACGAAACAGACTATCTCTCTCTTTCTCACTCTGCCTGGAATGATGTTTTGCCCACACAGCAAGGCACAGTACACACCGGGAGAAGCACGGCAAAGATATTGGGAAGTTAGCAATTTAAGTTAAACCTTAATTCCTATATCATATATTTAAAAATTTCAAAGCAAACATGAAACAATACGCAAGCGGCATACAGTGCTGCAACACACGACATACAACAGCCACGAGAGCCTTCGCGCGACTACTTTGGTCTAGTACCCGTTGGACACTCAAGATTCGACCCAAAAGCAAAAAGTGCCCATTGGACCTCTTTTTTGGTGTCATTGGACCTTCTTAAAAAGTTTTATATTCAATGTGCCTATTGGACCTCTTTTTTGGTGCCCATTGGACCTTCTTAAAAATTTTACTACTTCGCTATATGGCTCTATTCCGCGCTCAAAGTCACCGCGCTTAGTATCTTCTCTGCGCCTCTCCCGGTGTGCACAGTGCCATTTTTCTTACCACATTGCATCTATCTAAAGTAGAGGGTAAAGTTATGTCTTCTCGAGAATGCTTCAAGTAATGGTTTCAATTTTTATAAAAAATAATATGGTCTATACCTATCAGCTTGCTCTATGCTAGAAATGACACACAGCGCACACCGGTAGAGGCGCGGCGAAGATACTGAGAAGTGAACAACGTTACATCGTAATTCTTATAATATATATATATATATATATATAAAGCATTTAACTGCTAGATGTTTTAAATCTAAAGAACAATAGGGGTGATGACGGGGTACAGTAAACGAAATTCTATTTAGTCCGTCAGTTAGATGATAAAAAAATAATGGACACGTATTTTTTCTTTGGGCAATCAACCAAAAAATGTCAAAGTTATAGCGCGTCAAAGTTTGGAAGTAGGGGCTCGTGACGTGACTTTGAGTGAATTTTCACTTATAAGTGTAATCAAACGTGACGTCATGCGACTTTTCAAATCAATATATCTCTGCAATGTTTATTTTATGTGAAAAAAATACGTGTCCAATACTTTTTGATAATCTACCTGATAAACGAAGAAAAAAAATTTAGTCATCATCCCTATTTCCTATATTTTTTTCATATACTATCATCTAATATCTTATATAAAAATATCTCTTTTCTGCGCTAAAAGTCACCGCGCGCCGCTCCGTGGCTCTAAGCCGCGCTAAAAGTCGCCGCGCTTAATATCTTCGCCGCGCTCTCCCGGTGTGCACTGCACCTAATGAGCTCTGTTTGAGTTGTAAATAGTGTAAAACTGCAAAGACTTTTGATACACAACACAACCACGTAAGGGATTAATGTAAAGCGATAGTATGTGTAAATGGAATGATTTACCTCAGCATGTGTAAACACGTATCCATCGGGATTAGCTATAGGCAATATGATCCAGTCAATATCTTGCAGAATATCCACCTCGGACCCATCTTCTACCAACTTTCGGATACCATAGAGAGTTGCTGATAAGGTCACCCACTCTCTGGCATGCAGTAGAGATTGTATGAAAACGACTGGTTTACTGACATTCTGAAAAAAGCGAATAAATGCATAAGACTAAAATGATCACTCATTTTTCTCCAATTATTTGATACTTCTCCAACACCTGCGCGACGGAACTTCGGTACTAAAGTCGGCCTTGGTACTAAAGTCCACTTGCAGCAATTTTGCCAAATCTCAATTTAAGTATCACTACATTTAGCCCATACAATAATGACAAATTGGCATTGACGTTTTAACATTTAATAAAACTAGTTTTTACGGGTTAATGCACGAAACTTTATATTTATTTATTGACGTTTCGTAGCCTTTACAGGCTACGTCGTCGGAATCAAACTATTATTTAATTTGTCGAGCTACCTTCCTAAACCTTAATTAAATAAAAGTTTGATTCCGACGACGTAGCCTGTAAAGGCTACGAAACGTCAATAAATAAATAAAGTTTCTTGCATTAACCCGTAAAAACTAGTTTTATTTAATGAGTGATGTGCGTTAAAACCTAAGAAACAAATACTTTTTAACATTTTCCTATAAGTTAAATTTAGTTTTAGTTGAATCGAGATTTAGCAAATTTACTGCAAGTGGGCTTATGCGCTAAAATTAACGTTCGAAGTTTGAATTAAATCTGTGATAATGAATGAGATTCTTTTTATTGTGTAAACGATAGCTTTGCTGGCGATAATTAGACACGCTTAAGGCTGCTTTTCCACCAGAGATGTGCTGTGCTCGTTGCTGTGGATGCGTTTGATATCCACCAATCAAATTCATTGGTCCACATAGCATAGCACTGGTGGAAATGGGTTCAACTAAGCTATTTTTTTTATATGGAAGGATGCGAGCTAAGGATGCGTGCTATGGATGCGTGCTCTGGATGCGGGCTATGATGCCTCACCGCGTCGCCGCCACTCCTTCCCGCTTCCTTACTATCAATACATCGCATAGCTCGAGCTGGTGCATCTTCATAGCACATCTTACTCGCCCCGCTACATAGCTTAGTATCAATGGAAACGTTAACATAGTTTCGTAGCTTATCTGACACATCCTCGCAGCATAGCTGTATAGCACATCCCTGCTGGAAAAGCAGCATTAAAGAGGTTGTAGGAGACGATAAATTTGTATGTGCACCGTGCTAAAGAACCGTACTCAATTCAAAGTTCGAACGCGAACAAGCCCACGCGAACTCTCTTCGACGCAGGAGGGGGAGGAATGGTCGGCGGCGACGAGCCCGCCTGCTAGTCCTCTAGCGGAACTTCTTATAAGGGAGGGGGTGCTCCGCGGCACCATCGCGAGGGGATAAGAACCCAGGCGTAACAAGCGGCGACTCATAACTGGATCCCGCAGTTACGCCTGGAGGGTGAGGGGTAGATCGGGGAGTTGGTTTACCTGGTAGGTACGGGAGCTGGTCGGCTGGCTAGCCGCTCGGGCTGCGGTTCGTGAGACTATAATGCGATTCAACTAAGAATAGGACCGACTGGGCGCCATATTTTGACGTCATAGCTGTCAATTCAAACCAAATAGGTACAGTGAGCAAAACAATTTTGCTATTTTATAAAACTTATTTACTAAGGTTAAGTGAGACAAAACATCAGATATTTTAATAAAATTAATTTACAAAGGTTGAGAAAGAACACAACCGATTTTTAATAGTATTTCTTTATTAAGACTGTGTGAAAAAAAAACATTAATCAGAATCTAGCTCCTCAATTTCGCTTATCTCTGCATTATCGCCGAAGAAGTTATGAATAATCATGCAGGTCACATACGAACATGCAGCCTATATGTAAACGAAAGTTTTAAATCGAGTTTTTGGACGCAACATAAAGTGACATTTGGTTGACGATTTAGGTTATCGACCATTCATAACCAAAGCTCAATAAATGAAACAAAAACAACTAATATTAATAATCAACATTTTTTATTTTGATTTTTATACTAGAATCAGCTGAGTGGTAAAAAAGTGTTCCGAGATTTTTTTGCAAACAGTACTTTTCAAGCGGCATTTGACAGTTGAAGGTCATTGGCTTTCCTATTCTTATTTGAATCGCTTTATCGTCAACTGACGCTGTGAACGGAGAAGCCCAGGATCGGCTAAAGCGGGTGCGGACCGGGCTGCTGACTTGACGTATACCACGCTTGCGTGAGTGCACGTCAAAGTATACCCGCACCAACTAGCGGCCCTCGGGCTACTCGCCGCTTGCCGAATACACCACGCAATTACCTTTTTTTTCTTTTTTTTTTAACGTCAGGAAAATGCGTTGCGCATACCCCACCGCCTTGGGAGTACGGCAAGGTTATGTGGGACTTCTCCCCTCCTCCTCTCGCACACCCGCCCAACCAGTCCAAGGGCTGGCTCGGCGGCTGCTCGAGAGGAAGGGGGCCCTACCCACTAAAAACCTGACGATGCCCCTCATCTCACCGATGGGCCAAGGCCTCCCCTGGGACGGGATCCACCATCAGGCGGTACCCCACTCGACGAGGCAGCGGCACTGTGTGAGGCCATGGGAACCCTTACGGATACATCCACAACCCCACCAGTGAGTGTCCGATTCGAACGGACCCACCCAACTTGGGGATGCCCCGAGACATCGGGGGCATCCCCACCTATCTGCGAAGGCCTGTGCAATGCAGGGCCCGGACCTCCCAAGCCTGGACCCCGCTGGCCTCCGTCAGTGAGAGCTAGAAGCCGGTGGTATTGCCTTCTTCTAGTCCTCACCCTCCGACGATGACGGAGAGAATCCACGTGGGCTTTTTTTTTTTTTTTTTTATAGATAGGTCCGACAAATGACTCCACCCCACCTGATGTTAAGTGAAGGTGAAGTCCAGACGCGAAGATAGCTGATACAGCAATTCTACCTGCCACACCAGCCATCCTCACCCTGCCGGCCTGCATGTTGCTTCTTCACGCCTCTTTTAAAGGATCCCAGGTTGTAAGATGGAGGGAACACGTGAGCGGGCAGAGCATTCCATTTACGGATAGTACGACAAAGAAATGAGTCACCAAATTTCTTTGTACGCGTTGGAATTGTAGCCACAGTTAGACGGTGACAACGTAAGCCAGCGCGCGTGGTCCTCTGAAGGAAAGGGGAAGGTGGAATAAGAGAGAATAACTCCTCAGAACACTCGTCGTGGTACAGACGATAGAACGCGCTTAGTGACGCCACGTCACGGCGTAATTGAAGAGGCTCGAGGTGTTTAGACACCTCCTCATCACCTATGATGCGTATTGCGCGCCGCTGTAACCTATCCAAAGCATCGAGCAAGTACTTGGCGGAGCCATCCCAGAGGTGCGAGCAATATTCCACGCAAGACCGAACCTGCGTCTTATATAACAAGCATAGTTGCTCGGGCGTGAAAAAACGCCGCACCTTGTTCAGGACTCCGAGTTTGCGTGAGGCTGTTTTATCACACTTTCGATGTAATTTTTTGGATTTAAGTCACAGCGAATCTCCATACCGAGCATGGTGATACTGCTCTCTAGCTCCAGTGTTGTGCCCTGAAGAGAAGGACATAAAAGGAATGGCGACGTTTTTGCCGTGAAAGCGCAGACCTGGGTTTTCTTAGCATTGAACTCAACCAAGTTCTTGGTACCCCATTCAGAAATGTGGTCTAAAGCCTGATTGAGTTCAATGACAAGATTCTCCCGTTTCTCCTTGGTTACCGCCTGCCCAGCCGCTGCTTGTCCGAGATACCCCGCATGCACTGTACTGTCGTCTGCATAGCAATGAATATTCCCAAGAGGAATTAGGTCATTGATATGCAGCAGAAAGAGAGTGGGGGATAGGACGGAGCCCTGGGGAACGCCGGCATTCACTGACATGAACCGCGAACTGCTACCATCCGTAAGGACACGAATTCTACGCTCATGCAGGAAGTCAGCTACCCAAGAACAGAACTGGGCCGGCAGACCGTATGCCGGAAGCTTGGAGAGAAGGCTTTTGTGCCAGACCCTGTCGAATGCCTTGGCAATGTCTAGGCTGATAGCCAACGACTCGCCCCGCTTGTCGATAGCCTCACCCCAGATATGAGTCAAGTACGCTAGAAGATCACCCGTCGATCATTTCGGTCTAAAACCATATTGACGATCATTAATCAGGGAGTGATCCTCTAGGTAGCGGGTCAGATGGTTGTTAAGGACCTTTTCTAGGACTTTACATAATACTGAGGTGACTGCTATTGGCCGGTAGTTTGCCGGGTCTGAGCGATCCCCTTTTTTGGGTACCGGTTGCACGTTAGCATTTCTCCAAGTCTCCGGCACACGCCCCAAAGAATACGAGCACTGGTACAAACGCGTGAGCACGGGAGACAACTCCGCTGCACATTTTTTCAATACTACTGCTGGGATGCCATCAGGTCCACTAGCTTTCCGGACGTCGAGTGATTGCAATTCGGCACGAACCTCACGCTGCCTGATTTTGATATCAGGCATCGTTGTGCCACAATGAGGTAATAATGGTGGCAGTGCATTGCAATCATCGATTCGGGAGTTAGCCGCAAAGAGTTTTGCCAGTAAATCGGCTTTCTCCTGCGGCTTATGAGCTAGTGTTCCGTCTGGACATCTCAGAGGTGGCAGCGAGGGCTGGCAGAAGTTCTTTTGCACGGCCTTGGCCAAACGCCAATAGCTACGGGAGCCCGTAGGATGCGTTATAAGTTCGTGACCAACACGTGCAACGCGCTGGGCATCCGCTCTGATGTATGCCTTCTTACAGGCCTTGGAAGCAATATTGTAGGCTGCTTTTAGTGAATCGACCCCGGGATCCTTAAGAGCGCGGCCTCTGATCCAAGCACGATATGCCGCTTGCTTACGCGAAGCAGCTTCAGCACAGTCGTGATTGAACCAGAGGTTACGTGTGCCCTTACTGATGAGATTGGAATGAGGAATATAGTATTCCATACCCATTACAATCTCCTCAGTAATAGCAACGGCGCTGGCCGATAGGTCCTTGTCATTGAAGCAGCGCTGCTTCCAAGGGACGGACGCAAAGTAGTCACGCATACCGTCCCAATCTGCTGACCCATAGTGCCAGATCCGGCGTTTTACCACCGTTGGACGCGGAGGTTTAGCCTGTGGCGCTTTGGCAGATATCAGGCAGTGATCTGAAGAGCCCAGGGGGGCTCCTACCACAACCTGATAGCCCTGTGGATGGGTCGTGAGCAGAAGGTCCAGCAATGAAGGCGCTTGACTTGAAATATCTGGAATCCTGGTGGGCTGATCAACCAGTTGCTCCAAGTCATGCGTGAGAGCGAACGCGTGAGCAGAGATCCCTGCATGGTCAGTTTTCGAGGAACTTAACCACAAATTGTGGTGAGCATTAAAGTCCCCCAAAAACACCAATTCTGCATTGGGAAATTGCTCCTGCGCGTCATCTGCTGCCCGACTAAGATGTTCGAAAAGTCGAGTTGTCTCAACATCACCAGTATGGGATCTGTAGAGGCACACGTAGACTCTGGCCTGGGGACCTGAGTCGACGTGTACCCCCAATATGGAGAAGGTGGGATCTTCCAAGCAGCGGAGACGGCGACAACAAACATCCGCCCGAACATACAGGCATACACCGGCTTTCGCTTTGAAGGACTCTTCAAGCACGTAGCCGGGATAGTTAAGGTAGCCTGTGTCAGCAGGCGGAAGTATTTGTGTCTCCGTCAGGAACAACAATGCTGGCCGTGCTGTCTCAAGGTGGTGGTGGACAGCATTGAGGTTAGAGTGGAGTCCGCGTATGTTGCAGAACTCGACCTCAAACAGCGTTGAAGGCGTGGGGGTGTGCACCGCTGAACGTCCAAACTTTGTTTTAAGAGCTGCCATTATGGAAGTAAAAAAGAGACGTGAAACGAGTAGACTTTGTCGCGACAAGACCGGGCAAATTAGGAAGGCATGTTTCCCCGAATGATTGCCTGCAGAGGATATACGCCGACCCGCCGGACGGAAGGGCCCCCGCACCCTCCCGGAAGTGGCCGCCGGGACCCAAAGCCCCGGTCACCAACCGGCACGACGGTCCACCCCGAGATTATGCGTGACATGATAGGGCAGCCTCGCGAACTGGTTAGGAACGCTCGGGCCCCTGTACTGTGCCACGGGCGGCCAGCGGGACAGCCGTTTCTACGGGTCTCCCTGGCCGGCGGGTCGATGCAGTCCTCCCGGCATCGGTTCGACGGATGCCTCGCCCTGGACCGAATCCGTTGCGACAACCTCCACTCGAGCCCTGGTTGTACGCTGGCTGACCCCGAAACGCGCGAGAAGCACTTCACGGGTTTTTCACCATGCGCACGGTGGTAGAAAACCAGGCGGGTGTTAGGCACCCTACCACCAGAGGAGCGGATGGAAGCTCCGATATCCCTTAGTCGCCTTTTACGACACCAACGGGAAACCGCCCCTTCGGTGAGTTGTATTCTTTCTCCGTCACCGCACGGATAAAAAGGATAAAAAGATAAAGGAGGCTTGTTCCTCGCGGACCCTCTCCGCCGCCTCCTTCCGCGTGATGACAAACTCGCAGAAGGTGACCACCGCCCGCCAGGATCTGTCGCTTCCTAGCATAGCTTGCACTATGCCAGGCAGGGAGAGATCCTCCCCCACCGCCGCCACCAGAGTACGACGCTGCTGCGACCACGCCGGACATTCCTCTAGGGTATGTCCCGCAGTGTCCACGCAATTACCTGCGTCGCGAGAGTTTGTTGACAGAAAACCAACGCGGCGTTGGTCATTGTCGTAGATATAATGCATTTTTTCTCCCCGTCATCGAAAAATAAAAAAGTTGTAGGATATGCATGAGGCATCTTTAACATGACCAAAGTAAAACTACTTGTAACTAGAACCCAAGCGGTTTTATGAAGTCACTTGTATATATATATTTTTTTTATTTATTTTAACCCCAACTTTACCTATTATTATCATTAAAATGTTTTTTTTTATTCTAAAGACAACGATTTATCAGCCACATATTTAATATTGCAGCACCTAGTTACTGAGGTGTAAAGTTAATATAAAAAATACGAAAAAAATATCATTATTTTAATGAAACAAATAAATGAATCTCAATGGAAGATAAAGTTGAATGTCTAATTGTTCCTATAAGCAATGTAAAAATGCGTAATTTCGTTGAGCGGCGTAAATCATCATCATCATCTTCAGCCTATTAATGTCCTCACTGCTGGGGCACAGGCCTTCCATATGGATGGAATAGGGAGATTGGGCCATGACCCACCACGCGGGCCCAGTGCGGATTGGCGGGTGCTAACGACTGCAGATGCAGCCGGGACCAACGGCTTAACGTGCTTTCCGAAGCACGGAGTACATCGAGATAGTGAATTTTCGGTCACCCATCCAATGACCGACCATTGCGAAAGTTGCTTAACTTCAGCGATCGCAGCCGAACGCGCTAAACACTTGCGCCATCGAGCTCCTCGGCGTAAATATTACCATTGAATTTGCAGTCACCTGAAATTTGGTGGTAGATATCTTCAGGTACCAAATATCTCTGCCCTCAAAACTTTTGCCGGCACTGTCCAAAGTGACGATATTAGAATGTGATCGTGATACCTCCCGAAGATAAGTTTCAACCTTTAAAATAGAAATATATGATATATGAGTAACAATATTACTTTCTATACCCACCTAGTGACGTAAATTCCAATTATCTGGTGCATTCGCTTTCATAAAAATACAAGTGCTTCCACCAAACATTGCCTTACCTAAATAAATGTGGATTACAAAAAAACTCACAATGACAAAAATTTGTACTGGAGATTTCAGTTTCACCCGCATTCGTTTAAGGAATAAGCAATAGTTAGTCAATCTTAAAATATAAATATGTGCTGTCACGGCCTTTTTGCTACACCTTTAAAAAGGAAACAATTCCGTCATTCATTATTTTTCTAAGCTCTCAAATGGAATCTTTTTCCCCGTTTTTCAATATTACTCATTGATGATACGCTCCTTTTGGTCGTAGCGTCATGCTACATAGCCTATAGCCATTTTCGATCAATGGACTATCGAGACCGCCATATTATTGCTGAATTAAGAAACCGCTGAGAGCAGTTCGAACGCAAGAAAAAGAAATGCGTGTGTTGCATTCCAATGACTATGACAAGCGGGAACAACGTATAAAAGTTCAAGATAATCATTATCGCAGACCGAATACGCTAAACACTGCACCATAGATATTTTTGAGAGTTAGGCGAATTACTCTTCTCAAGTATTCAAAATATAAGCGAAGAATTTTATAAAACAGATTGTGAATTTTATCAATATTTTGTAGTTTGTAGAACATAAAAATTGCGATGGAAAACTTTGTAATAACCGCCATTGTAAGATAGACCGCGCCAGAGTAGACCGCATGATTGCCCTAGATAACTTTGATAACAGCTATGAAGCGATTAAATTTTAGACTTGAAATTGAGTATTAGACTTTGAAATAGAAATTGAAGAAAGCACCAACTTCTACACAGCTGATTTAAATGAAAGATCACAATTATACGATTAAAATTTAACTTGGTGAAGGCATAACTCTGCTATGCTTATCAAAATTCTGAGAAACTTTAGTAATATGTGCAAATTACTTTACGACTTCGGCATCGTACCTATTTCAAATTTTGTATGACTATTTAAATATTCAAATTCTAGAAAGGAATTTTTGATTTGAATACTCTTTATTTATTAGTTGATAATAAACAATTTACATTTCAAAAGGGATCTAATATCACTCTTTTTATATAATCTTGCTTTACGATTTCTCTTCTCAATTTCACAATGGCTTACGAAAAGTTCTTGGGCCAACAATTTTCACGCGAATTCCTGTGTGATTGTCAAGAAATATTTCGCTCTATATTCCTTCATTGGCCAATACGATATCAGTGCAAAGCTAATTCTTCTTGTTCACTAAAACCACGGTTTTCCCTGAATGCATATTATAAAATTAAGTCATGGTGAATTTTAAAATAAACCAAGAAACGGCCTTGATGGAACTGAACTTAGAAAAAAACCAATCAATAAGAACCAGGACGTCATCTTTATATAATGTGTAGTCTCTATTTTATAATTATTATCACCTTCATTTTACTTAACTTATTTTAAGTAACTAACATTTCTTATTCATTCTATATATTACCTCTTCATAGGTCAGGATTGTGGAGAACATGTCATCGATTTTAGTATTAATAGACCTATAATCTTTTGACAACAATTTATCCTCAAGCTCGAGAATCCTGTGAAAGAAAAAAATGCGTGACATAGATGCATGGCTTTGCGGTACACAATTATTTCGAGATACCAATGTCATAGCAAAAGTACGAAAATATAAATACATCAGTATATTAAATAACACTTTTCAGGGATTTAAAATTTATTGGTATATATTATATGCGTTCAATCAATCAAATCATTTATTCGTTGTCATCGGTAACAATAAGTTTTTAAAATTTATATAAATGTGCCTCCGTGACATGCTCAACAGCATACGAAAATTTGTTATCATTACATTTTAAATTCAATCAAATCATAATCATAAAAGAATCAATACATTAATCTTTAAATCAATAAAAAAAATCGATATATCAGTATCAGTTAAAAAATCATTTACATTATAATAACATTTATCCACTAACGTGGATATGTGAACTACGTGCGATGTGAACTGTATGATGTGGTAGACTTGGTATATGATGAAAACACGGTCTTCTCAAGTTCACAGTTTATTCGCAACTAACTGACATAAGTACTATACTATCAAAATACACGTCATATCAAAGAATATAAAATACAAAGATAAAGTTCTATAAAAGAGAACGGCCAACACCAGCCAGTCGCCAACAAATACATTTATCACGGAGCGCAGATTACAGAAAGTGCATTCTTTCGCACCTTGTGCCGGCACGTCATGTGGCTAATCGTGTTTGCTATTTGGTGGATGTGTATCCACAACGGGCAGTGAGAGGAAGGGACTGCTATCGAGGCGGATGCGATTGGCCATATGAAGTTCCGGCATAACAGGCCCTGCCAGAATACCAGCGCTGCTGTGACACGTTTTATAGCGTGTTGCGGCAGCATTACGCTGAGGCAGGGTCCTGATTGACCACAAATGGTACTATATTTTTTTTTCTGTACTCCATCATGTATATTTTCATATTTTTTTGTATGTTGTTTTGTGAATTTATTAATGTGGTCAATAAAAATGACTCTCTCTCTCTCTCTCACTCTCTCACTAAAAATTTCGTCAGTATTTTTTTGAATGTATTTGTATTATAATATTTAATGCTGTCAGGTAAATTATAATATACTTTAGGAGCCATTTCCACAACACTTTTCTTCATTAGAGCTGTTCTACACATATTTGTACAAATTTGAGGTTTCCGAGGGCGAAGGCCGAGCATATGAGTCTGTTCTCTTACTTTAAAAAGATGTGGATTACTTTTCACGAAAACGCAGCACTCAACTATATAGAGACATGGCAATGTCAACAAATTTAGGGACCTTTTTTTTGATACGCTGGGGAAATGCATTAAATTGCATACCATATACATACATAGCGTGGCAGAGCAGGGGCGATTTTTCGCCATGGCGCGTCGCGCCTGTATGCGTTAGTGCGTTTTCAGGGCGTGGGATGGCCGGGTCCAACCCGGCGGGCCACTTGGGTGGCCACAAAACACCTTTATCCGCACTGAGCGGGCCGGGGGACCGGCGCAATGAGCGCCGGACCGAGTGGAAGACAACCACAATAAAAAATTACCCCAATCCTAAGGTCTGGCCGTGCCGATGAGATGGGTGGCTGGAGGGGATCCAGTCGCGAACGGCCACCCAGGGAGCTATCCCCAAATAGCAAACATGGAATTCGGTCAAGAAAACAAATCACACCAAGGGGTTTCAATCCCCCCCGTAGGACCGCGCAAGGCGGCTGCGGGCAGCCGGGAGTATCTGGTGCCGTGCCTACCGAATTCCGCCCTCCAACAATGCGATCCCGTTGAGAGCGGTTTACCGTCAATGTCCGGGTCGGCGGTGGACCATGGCGACCGAGGCGAGTGGTGGAAATGTGGATGTTCCGGCTGCGCCATCAGGCGCAGGCAATGATTCTGCGATGGCGGATGTTCCGGCGGCAATTTCGACTGCTGCTGATGATCCCGCGATGGCGGATGTGCCGGCGGCAAGTTCGACTGCCACTGATGACCCCGCAAGGAGAAGACGGGTCCGATCTAGAAACTGGACGGACCGAGAGGATGGTAGATATCTATCCCATTCAAAGGGATCTACTTCCTCCATACACGGAAAAGACTGGGAGCCATTAGTGCCGTCGTTTCCGCAACTACGGACAGTGAGTCGCCGCGGGCGCTCAAGCGCAAATCGCAGCGTACACTCCATCGAAGAGGGAAGAAGGGGAAACGGGCGGGTGGTGACGGGGACTCAGAGCGGGAAGTCCCCTCCCAAAATGCCGCAGAGGATCGGGGCAGAGATGTTTGCCTGCCTGTCCGATGTCGCGAAGACCGTGGACAGGGCCAGAAGCTCCCGGGCGGAGGTCGTTAAAGCGCTACGAACCGCACTGTCCAATCTAGAGGCGGGTACGACCGAGTTGTGCGAACGGGCGGAAAAGCGGGTCAGGGAGAACGCTCAATTTCTCTCCACGGTGGAGCAGCTCACTGCCCGCCTTACGAAGCTGGCCAATGAGGTGGGGAGCCTCAGGAAGGAGAACGAGGCCCTGAAAAAGGGCCTCTACCGGATGAGTCATAACGCGCCGGCGTCGTCCCGGGAGAGCACGACACCCTCGACAGATCCGGTGCCTAATAAATATAAAGGAAAGGCGTCAGGGGGCGCGCAGGCGAAAGGTCCCGCCCTCCTAACAACAACATAGGCGCCCCGAGTGGAGCCGGTGACGTCAGACTGGAGCCAGATCTCCATTGATATGGAGAGTGAGTTCGCCAGGTTCCAGTCCGACCTCATGCACCGCTTCTTCCCTGACATTGGAAAGAGACCCGCTCTTGCACACGAGCACCGTCAAGCGGAGGCGGTTCAGCCCGTGCCGCCATACTTTAGGGACCTAAAATAGGGTACACAGCTATCTGAGGGACAAACAGAACTCACACATTGTTTTTGAGCTTTTAACAATATTAGCGTTACAGCTCTGTCTCATGAAATTATTTTTATTTAGTATTTCTACCTCATCATATACAGAGTAGTGCAAAAGTAATCACTCTATCGGAAGATGTTTTTATTATTGAAAATGGAGTCGTACGTCAATCATATTTGACATTTATGAACTGACAAGCAATGGAGCACGATACTCTACAGGTGCGTGAATATGTGTGGTTTCAACGAGACGGTGCATCTGCACACACAATACTATAACATTTTGGCGATTTCAACAAAATCGCCCGATTTAACAGCCCCAGACTTCTTTCTTTGGGGCTACTTTACAGAAATAAAATTGAAGGTCCTAATAAAGATTTCCATCAGTCAATTTTTTTTTGTGAAACAGGTATACAAATAGAAATTGGATGATTACTTTTGTGTAACCTTTTATAGTAAGTCATCTTTGATTTCCTTTATCGTAAGCGGTGATTATCGAATATAGTATAAATTCTTTAAAATAGCGATATGCAATTTCTTTAAAAATTGTGCATTTATGCTATCACACTATAGTAATCGTGTCTATCTTGTAACGCAGAACTTTTAATGTCATAATATTATTATGCATATTAACGGATGGCATAAACTTTATTTCGCAGAAAATCATTTGGCATTCACTCATTTAACAGACATTCAAAAGCACAATTTTGTAATCCAGAATCATCTTTAGGCATAAAGGAGATTGCTCGAATTGGCCCAAATGCACAAAAAATATTGACATATACGGTAATTCTTGACGTAATTTATACTTTATTTTACAGTCATTAGATTTTAACGGACACCTTTGTATAATATATTAATTTTAAAAAGGAATTTTAATTTTACCGGTTTGAAAAACATACGAATTATTTTTAAAGGCTATGGGTGAAGTAACAGTCAGCCAAAGACTGATCGAAGTTATTTATATAACATAAAATCAAATCTATTTTGTAAAGATCGATAAAATGAAAACTTTTTGTTTTATTACACTGTGGTATTAATATCCACAACTATATTATCATATTCACTAGATGCAAATGTGCTAAGACAATTATTATAGATGGTAGGCGACATCATAAAGTCTATTGCCATACATTTTTCGCCAAACACCTCCATAAACGCATTATAAGGTGTGATACACTAAAAATCTAAAATATGGTTATAATGTAAACATAACAAAAATAATGAAGCTACTGAAGATATGGCTGTATAACCTAAATCTCTTAGCTTTCTTTGGTTAACGAGAGTTTAAAAATTCTCTCTAATCTGTGGCTCATTCACAATCATCACACAGTTTCTTCTGTCATAGAGTACCTTCCTTATTATAACTGGAAATGTATAGATGACACCTGATATTAAAAGTTACTCTTGTGCATTTACTTTAAAAACAGGCAACTATCTATTAATCTACATGCTCTATGAATGTATCTAATACATAATTTCGGTACTTGGCTTGATTTGCCTAGTTTACTATATAACTTATTTGTTTTTCATTATTTTAATCCCTATGTACCTATTTGCAAACATAACCTCAAAATCGTTCAGTGTATATATGGTTCCTCCTGTTCCTATATGGTTTATAGAAGTTCTCAGGGGTGTCCGTCAATAAAGTTCGTTTCTACAGTAATTTATATATAATTTCGAATCTAGGAAACAATTTTTCATGATTATTGGTCTTTAGGCCAAACATGTATGGAAGCTGAGCAATCTCCTTTAATATGTGGAGTCCGTGACAAGTCCTTGACAGACAACTTTTTCATAATACGCGGACTAAATTTCCTCCGCGCGGATAAGTCCGTCGTCTGCGCAGGCCATCATTGTGATAGCTTGCTAGCCATTTATATTTATATGATTATAATTACTTGAACAACTTTGTGGTTCTTACAGGGTTAGTAACAATTTCACTTATATACTATGTTAGTAAATATTGAAAATAAAATCGCAACGAAGACAACTATAAAAATTTTACCTACAATAAATAGCTTTGGTTTATTTACTAATGGTTAAGAAAACGAGCGAGCCTTACAGTAGTCGCGTATGATGTGTAACATTTGAAATCTCACCTTATATTAGTAAAAAAAAGAAATAAAACCTACTACAAAAGGAATAAGCCATTTGAACATTATGTTCTAAAATCAAATCAAATAGCGCGCGCTTTCGCGACTTCCTGTTACACACTTTCGTTCCATTTCACGAAATCACTCCCACAAATTTCAGGAAAGCGACAGGAAAGATGTTACACATCAAAAACGTAAGCTATATTTTATTTTATTTTAGGAACATAGAACAGTTATACACTAAATATTACATAAAATTATAATGTAGATATTAATTAGGTAAGTGTACAACCCACACCAATGTCCACAAATTAATGATGAAAGGAGAAGTTTATTATCTTCTCACTACGGAATAATAAACTAAAAAACCGCAATGAACCGGTACAGATACAAGTATGATACCAAATTCCATCAATCCGTTCTATTTGATAATGTTTCTACTACCATTTTATTAAACTTTAATTTTGAGAACCCAAATATGTCTAATTCTGCAAAGTTTGTGTTATAATTATCCAGTAGTCGCCGAAGGGGCGCACGCACTCCCGCATTCGTTCTACATGTCCCAGTATAAAACAGCCGAGGCGCGCGCACCCCTCTGCGGAATACCGATCTAGGTACAATATAACACAAATAATTTGTAAGGTTATTACAAATACCATGTAACATCATGGCCATGAGTAGGTAACGTCTGGACTCCAAGCTCAAAAGTCCGTAATGAGTCAACAATTCCGCATAAGAAATTCTACAATGATGTAACTTGTAATGTATCCTTAGATTAAAACAAAAAGGGTAGATACGGTACGCTCATACTTGCATCAAACAAAAACTGATCCTACGGCAGCGCGAACGGGACGGCGTGATCCGCGTCACTGCATTACCGACCCGAGCGAATTCAACGGCAGCGCGAACGAGACGGCGAGATCCGCGTCACTGCATTACCGACCAATCAGGCGACCAGTACTCGACGTCACTACCGAATAAGATTCAAAACAATTTTTATGACAAAATATATTTTATAGTACTTACGAATGAAAAGTGATGCCGTGGGTTTTATTCTTAGTTCTTGAGCAATTTGAGCACTTATAAAAACACACTTAGGGATTGTTTTATCATATAAACACAAAATATTAGCAATATTTCTTTTGGGCGTTCACATGTACGTCGTTTGCATGTCAAGTTGTGACTAAAGCGATTAGGGTCGTGGACCACAATTGGTGCGGATCACTTTTGTGAGACTAGTGCCGTATCTACCCTTTTTGTTTTAATCTAAGAATGTATCCTACGTAAAAACTTCTTTTGAATTTTATTTATATAACATTATTAGTAACGTAACCAAGCAAAATGTGGCTTTCTCTCTCTCCCAGTAAATCATACTTCACTACTTTTAGTTTTTCTACTAACCTTTTGATATTTTCCACAGTGACTTTGTATCGTATCCCGGCAGCAGAAAGTTTATTTTCAAAATATTCTCTCTGATCTTTTGCTACCAACACCTGGCCAGGTCTATCAATCGTCGGATTATTCCACACGTCTAAAAGAAGAACTCTCTCCATTTGCTTAAAAAAATGTGCTTGTACCATGTTGTCTGTTTTGACTTCGTATAATGAATGTCTGAAATGTAAATGAACAAGTTAATGTAGCTTTGCTGATGGTCCTGTCGTCCTAGCGTAGAATGCAGACAGCAGCTCCGGCATAATTTTCAGAAAAAGGCTTTTGTTAAAAGTTTTAACTTTAAAAACTTTTAACAAAACGTCTGGATAGATACAAAAAACAACCCAATTATAGCTATGTTTTTATTTATTTTAAAGCATTTAACTGCTATGTTTAAATCTAAAGAAAAGTTTACTAGAACAAAATCTACGCGGACCAGGCAGCGGACGGGACTCGAACCCGCACCCTTCGCAATCCGGGCGAATGCACTGACTATTATGCTACCACGGCCCTATTCGCCGCGTTGAAATTTTCCTAGCCTTAAGCTGCAAGGCAGCGCCATCTCTTCGCATTGTAGGTAACCCACAATGTCAAATGAATACTTTTTTCAAGTATTAAACATTTGAAAGAAGAAATAGCAATTATAGTTATGTTTTTATTTATTTTTAAAGCATTTAACTGCTAGATGTTTAAATCTAAAGAAAAGTTTACTAGAAAAAAATCTACGCGGACCAGGCAGCGGACGGGACTCGAACCCGCACCCTTCGCAATTATAGCTATTTTGTATACGATCTGGCAGCACTTATAAATAAACAAGCACGCATTCTACATTGTTTGTATTTATTAGCATAACCATTCCTTATACACATTTGACGATCTGCGTGGCTCAGTGGTTTGTAGGTGTCGCCAACTCGAGAGGTCCCAGGTTCGAATCCCGGTGGGGGCAGAAGTTCGTTTGATGAATTTGTACTCCAGTCATGGATGTTAAATACGTATTTCTATATAAATATACTTATAAATGTGTATGCTATCCGTTACCCTAGTAACCCATAGCACAAGCCTACATTTGCTTACTTTGGGGTTAGGCTAGTTGGTGTGAGTGTTGGAAACATTTATTTATTTGCCACTAGCTGTGCCCGCAACTTCATTCGCGTGGGCGTCGGAAAATAAATAAAATAAATATTTCCAACACTCACACCAATTAGCCTAGCCCCAAAGTAAGCACTGTAAGGCTTGTGTTATGGGATGCTAGGGTAACGAATAAAAAACATAAACAGTACATATATAATTATATTTATATAGAATTACATATTAAACATCCATGACTGGAGTACCAATGCTCGTATTCATCACACAAACATCTGCCCCCACCGGGATTCGAACCCGTAAATAACAACATTTCGTACGGAGATGACAAACATGATTTTTCTGATGTAATAAAGAAATAAAGAAATAAGAAGATTAAAGCGCTCTTTTTTGCGTTTTTTGAGTAGAGATGCGGTGTTTTTTTAAAACTATGATATCTCTTACGATATTTTTGAAATCGACTGATGTCAAGAATTATGTTGAACAAAATTAAAATACTTTTGAAGAATAATGTGTAAATTGATAAGGAATAATCATCATATTTTCCTTCGCTTTGATTACTAAAAGTAATAGTGAGTCAAGTTAGTAAACTTCTTTTTCAAAGTTTAAAGGAGAACAATTTCTTCATGCATGATTTATTTGTAACTTTAACTGTTTACGCAGCGCACGCAACGAAAGCTCTGAAAAGGAATATTTTTATCCCGTTTTCGCAACATTTTCCATTGATCCTCCGCTCCTATTAGTCTCATCATGATGTTATATATAGCCTTTCTCGATAAATGGGCTATCTATCCCAAAAAATATTTTTAAGCTATTGCATAGCTTAAATCGCGGCCTTTGAGCACGGCGACCGGATCAAGAAATTCCGTAACTAAAACAAACCTAACACCCCCCACTCCGACCGGCACAGCGGTGATGCGTTTAAAGCCGTGCATCATCTAACGTCGTTTCAGTTCGGCAGACTTCGGCATGGTGTTTGTGTGCGTGCGACTAGCCATATGCGTGTAGACTAGCTGCTAACTGCTCATAACTGATTCTATCTCTTTTAGACACAATGCTAGGTGAGACAGCGTGCTTTTTGTCCGCGTCAACAAGTGAGTTCGAGCCCGCGACTAGTTGAACCTTAATAAATATTAACTTACTTGTTTCTTAGGTTTTCACGCACATCACTCATTAAATAAAACTAGTTTTAACGGGTTAATGCACGAACTTTATTTATTTATTGACGTTTCGCAGCCTTTTCAGGTCTGCATCGTCAGAATAATGAATAATCAATATTAACTTCTCATTTGTTCAATAAAAAAAAATGATTTCTTATCGGTCACCGCGCTCAAAAAGTGTAACATGAATTAATATCAAAGATAAAAATTCCGCATATATAAAATAATTATATAATTATAATTGCATAAGTTGATAAAAAATGCTATGCAATAGCTTTACCGCGGTAGTATCCGAGCACCACGCGTATTTTTTCTATTTGAGATTAGCGCGTTCAACCAAACAAACACACAAAATCTTTAGCTTTATAATAATAGTATACAGTTACACATGAAAATCACAAGCATTCGAATTAATGAGATAATAATATATTTAATAGAGTGCATAGAAATACTTTAAAAATAAGTCTTACCCATCATATTGCTCATGTTTAGCGCAAACAAAACTAAATAAAACAAAAAATAAAAATATAGACTTCAATGCGTTCATTTTGTTTCGGCTACTGAAAAAGTGGCAATTAATAATTAAATAATCTCTATAGTGTGCCGCATTCAGAGATATGGTGAAATCACTTATCTGTCAGATCTAATATCATATCTATTTAATTGAGTCGATCGATAATCATAATCTAAAAGAATGAAATCTCCACAAACAATTAATCATCTGTAGTATTTAGCTGAGGCAGGGAACTAGTTACCCTATTTTTTTTTTTTGTTTTATTTATGTTAATATGACTATGTTTAAGGCCAATAAATTTATTTCTATTCTATTCTATCACGCCGCCGCCTGAGACTACGTCCCCGTTAACTTTAGTTTTTTGAAAATCCCTTAGGAGCCTAACAATTTTCCGGAATAAAAAGTATCTTTTGTCTCAATCCAGGTCATAATCTATATGCGTACCAAGTTTCATTGAAATCCTTTCAGAAGTTTTTGCGTGATTGAGTAACAAACTTACAAACTTTCACACTTAAATACTTATATTATAAAGAGGAAAGATTTAATCGTTTGTTTCTTTGTTTGTATTGAATAGGCTCCGAAACTACTGGACCGATTTGATAAATTCTTTCACATTTAGAATCTTACAGTAATCCCTGATGAACATAGACAATAGAGTTATTTCGAAAAAGGTGGGGTTTCATATGAAAACTTCGATAAATTAACCCAATATGTGAAAAAATAACCTTATATCGCGTCCGCTGCGGAAGTCATCACTACATAGTATAATAGATTATTTACGAAGCGATTTTAAACTATATAACATTCATCCTTATCCAATTAAGTACCTTAAATACATTGCGCATTTAATATAGAACAATTTGGCCCTTTAACGCATATAATTTAAATGAATATTTTCGAAGATTTTACAAATTTAAAATTCAGGGACATAGCGGTTCCGACGCTACCGGGCTTGGCGGCGCGTGCCTATTGTAATTGGATATTAGAAGAATGTCATTGTGTATAATACCAGCCTGAGAACAAAAACTATAGTCTACACTACAGCTTTACACCGAAGCGAAGCGAGGGCGAACCACTAGTTGAGAATAAAGCAAAGTGATGTACTAAAGTTTTATCGAGGATATCAATATCCGCAAAAAAGTTTCAATATCATATGTCTGTAGGAAGGCCAAAGGGGAAGATCTTCCTCCGAGCTGGGTGATGGTAGCTCAGGGGCCGCGGCCCGACTGATGTTGGTCGGGCATCGTATATATCAAGAGTTAGCCTTCGAATTTCATTTGCGCGATGTAGGCTTCCATACTAATATTGATCGCAGTGCAGGTAACGCCATCTCTTGAGGATGGTGAGTAATGATTTCCTACATCCGTTGTATATCTGTGGGCCATATAGATGTCGCCGCCACATGTCCAACTATTACAGTTATGTCACAACTGCGTTTTTCGTTTCCTTTCACTCGCGTTAATTTGAGGAAAAAGTTTATAGTGAGTGAAACTTAAAATATGGGCATATGCTGTTGCGGATTTTTTTTATAGAACTTTTAAAGTGGAACAATTCTGTCGTACATGATTTTTGTGTAATTTGAACTATTTTTCATTGATGCTCCGCTCCTCCTTGGGGCCATTCGCCTAACGGAAGTGCTATGGAAAACGCTAACGCTTTCGATCTTATTTTGTTATTTCTGACCGCCGAAGGTTTTCAAATACCTCGCATTCATTTTTTTAATATTATTATTACCAATGCAAAAGAAGAAAAAAGAGCGCGAGTCATTAGAAAACCTCAGGCGGCTAGAAATAACAAAATGAAATCGAAAGCGTTAGCGTTTTCTAAAGCATTTCCGTTAGGCGAATGGCCCCCTGGTCCTGTTGTGATGTTATATAGCCTATTAGCCTTTTTTCCAATCGGACAACTATTCTCTAAGATTAGCGCGTTCAACCAAAAAAAGAAACAGTATGGCCAATATGGATACTGTTCGCTTTGTGTGGCCAATGTACGAACTGCCACAGATGCAATCGATCTTATAGACACCAGGTTTTTCCAAGGGAAAGTTGTCTTTAGGAGACCGTAGGTATTGTGAAACCTTTCGTAAAGGAGTGAAGACAGTGTTTCATCATCATCATCATCATCAACAGCCTATCCTAGTCCACCTTCTGGACATAAGCCTCTCCAATTGCACGCCACTCAGATCGATTTTGGGCTACTCGCATCCAGCTCCTGCCAGCCACCTTGCGCAAATCGTCACTCCACCGTGCCTGAGGACGTCCTACACTACGTTTGCCTAGACGCGGTCTCCACTCCAGAACTCTACCCCAACGGTTATCGGTTCTTCGGCAAATATGACCAGCCCACTGCCACTTCAGCTTACTAATCCGGTGGGCTATGTCGATAACTCTGGTTCTCTGTCGGATTACCTCATTTCTGATGCGAGACAGTGTTTAGTGAGTACTTATTCCGTATGTTTGAGATCTTGTCAGTCACTCCTTTAATATATGGCAAATATACAGGTTGTCTGTCTACTCTGTGTCTCTGGTGTCTTAGTTTGTGTCTAGATTGAAAATGTCCCTGGTATCCATTACTCTGTAAGACTCATCGTACATGCTCTAACTCTTCTTGAAGATGTTCCTCATCACACAGGTTATATGCACGGTTCGTCAGTGAAGTCACTACAGAGTTAAGATAGTTCTAAGACGTGTGTTTTCTTGCAATGTTTTTTACTACCGATCAACGCAATTGGAAACGACTCTTCTTTGGAAAACTCTAAATAAAAACTAAAAAACAAATATTATTATTAATATAAATTTCAGGGCATTTTAATCATCATGAAACGTACTTTCTGCAGGTATAACTTTTATAGTTGTAAGTTTTATACTTTTTGAGAAAATCAAATCAGAGTTCCGAAGTCGCAAGTGACCCGATTTATTTGTTGTCCAGAGTTAGTTATCTATTCAACTGTGTTACTTTAGTCTACATTTTCGTAATGAGGAGGAGTTATGTAGTTAGGTATTTTAAATATTACCAAATATGCATTTTTGTAGGTTTCAATCGGTTTAAAAAATAGAAAAACTATCATCATGTCCCCACTGCTGGGGCACAGGCCTTCCCTATGGATGGAATAGGGAGATTGGGCCATGACCCACCACGCGGGCCCAGTGCGGATTGGCGGGTGCTAACGACTGCAGATGCAGCCGGGACCGACGGCTTAACGTGCCTTCCGAAGCACGGAGGAACTCGAGATAGAAGATTTTTGGTCACCCATCCAATGACCGACCACTGCGAAAGTTGCTTAACTTCAACGATCGCAGCCAAACGCGCTAACCACTTGCGCCAACGCGCTCCTCGAGAAAAACTATAATTATTAAATATAATCGGATTTTTTTTTTTTACTAACAGCAAACCAACAGATACGTTCGTGGGTCAATTTTCTCTGTTTTCCTTGATAAATCAATTGTATTTTTCTGAGTAATGTAAAAAACAACTCACTAATTATAGCTAATAACGATATTGTTACCATGTACCTTGTTTTTTATGAGTCTCCGATATTTCGGCACTGTTGTTATTGTGTGTCGGGAACAAGTGCCGAGTGAATAGTGAGAATTTGACCAGACCAGAGGGTAGACCGATAGGTCTGCCAATAACATCTACCCGCAATTACTTCAGTTACTCCGTGATCATGGCGCTTGCAACAGTGCCGAAATATCGGAGACTCATAAAAAACAAGGTACATGGTAACAATCCCGTTAATAGCTATAATGTTAGTGACCATGAAAGTTTTAAACAATAACTCATTCATTATTTATTTCTTTTAAATTTTCCGCTGTCGGGTAGATCCTGTTCCAATTTGTGGTCTGGAACATTTACAACAAAGCACGGGGCATGTTCGGCTCATAATTACTAAAACACAATGAGTTCCCAAGGCTGTGCTGCAATTAAAGACCCACAATGGCACAACTTCAGGTATAATAATGATTAAATTCTGCAAACGCTACCTGGCACAATTATCGAAGAGTCAGTTTGAGCCTTACATTGTTTCTCTGGATTTGAATTGAGTTAAATGGTTGGAAAAAGAAGTTAATTTTTCACATCCAATCCAGCTAGTATCAGCGTAAGTCTGCCATGGTAAGCAGTAAAACGCTTTGTATCAAAGCATCACTAGTTATAAATTTGAATAAAAAAGAAATAAACTACTACTGCTTTTAATCTTAATATATTCAAATTCAAATCATTTATTATTCGGACAACATAGATCCATGTGTTAGTATACAATACTTAATACTATGTTAGTAAATTATATTAAAAACAGATATAACCCTATTTACAAAAATATTTATCAGTGCACAGTCCCCACGAGCCACTAAATCCCTCACAACACTACTGCGGCTACCACGAACCCGCCGTAGCAATGAACCTGCTTTTTTGCGCAAAATAGCCGGGAAACTGTCGACCTGCGCATCTGCGAACATTCCCGAAGCACTACTATATCGCGGCAGCCGCAGCAGTGCCCTGAAGGCATTATTGTATTGGACACGGAGGACATCATATGATTTTCGGGTAAAATTAACCCATAGGCTGCTCGAGTAGAAAGATATACAAAAAGCCTTAAAAAGAGTGATTTTTACGGTGTCAGAACATCGAGCAAACCTACGGGCCAACATATTTGTACTCTTAGACAATGCCCTTCGCTCCCTTTCAAGGTCAGCGTCATCCTTTAAAGTATCTGTTACAATATGACCTAGATACTTAAATTGCGTAACTCTACGGAGATCAGATCCATATAGTTTTACAGAGGGCACGTTTTCAGGAGTCTTTCCGTGAGCCTTAAAAGTCATATATACACTTTTACTGGTATTATAAGATAAACCATGATTGGTTGAATAGGTTTCACAAATGTTCACAAGCATCCTCAAAGCACTGATCGAAGGAGCCAGCAACACCATATCATCCGCGTAACTGATATTATTTACGCAAACACTCCCTACGTGACAGCCGACACGTGTACCGCTAAGCTCCTCAATCAGCGCGTTGATGTACAGATTAAATAATTTCGGTGAAGTTCTTCCCCCTTGCCTAACTCCACATTCTAATCTGTACTCCTCCGAATGAACACCAG